AGATAAAAGACTAGAATTGGATGATATAAAAATAAAAACTTTAGTTCGTATTAAAAAAAGGAGTAACAGAAGAAAATAAAATGCTCTTAGTTTTGAAATGAGATGTAGTAAATGTACTTTTTTCCCCTACAATTACTAGTAAATATACTTGTTTTCTCTAAGGGACAAGCTGGAGAGGTTGTGACTTCCTCAAGATTAAAAGGCTTTGGTGAAGCCAGGACTCCATTTCAGGTATCCTGAATCTCAGTCTAGTACCCTCTCTGCCAGCCATTTTGCTCATTATTATTTAATTTTACCTTGGTTTTTTTTTAATAAAATTAATTTTAGTTATATTCTATAAATAGGACCCATTTTATATCCCACCTGACCTTATGAGTCATGGGCAGATAGATAACTGTTAACAACAAGAAATCCAAACTCCCTTCCATTGAGAGGTTAGCAGCTTTAGGGTTTATATAGCTTTCTTAACTTTTGGTATTGTAATTCTGTGCCTTGAAAAACAAAAAGCAAAAAAAAACAAAACAACAAAAAACCATATGAAGTGCAGTAGTAATAGAAAGGGCACTAGATTAGCAATCAAGAAGCCTGAGTTTTGTCCCATCTTTACCACTAACTAGTGGTGGAACATTAGCAAGTTTATTTATTCTCTATAGGTTTCAATTGTGAAATTAAGGTAAATAATTTTTAAGGGACTTTCTGATTCTGGGATCTTTTGATTGTATAAATTTTGCTTAAGAAATATGAAAAGGTTATTGAACCTTAATTGTAAAGAAACACATAGAATTTGAAATTAGATTGGCTTAAATTAAGCTCAGGCCCTGACATTAAATGTTATTTAATTTTTATGATTTTCTAATAAAAAGTAGAATTAATAAGTCTATAATTTATCCATTATGTTCAAAATGAAGACTATATTTCCAGCAGCCACATTTTCTTCAAATCACTGAAGGTTATGAAGGGATTGCCAATTAACAGCGCAGCAGCTACCATAAGGAAAGGTGGCCCATTGGGTTACCGCTGGAAAGTCAGGCAGAACACCTTGAAAGGGATAGCCCAGAGAAAGGGAAGGAGAGCTACCATTTCTTTAAAAGAAGGAAAAATTGGAAAAAAATATCACAAAATCATGAAAGCAGTAAAGGAAAAATGTATATAAACAAAACTTGTTTTTGTTTTTTTCTTCCCCTCAACAACCTTCTAAAGCATGGTTGACATTCATGATCAGTTTGCAAATGAGGAAAGGTTAGAAGGAAAGGACTCATGGCCTTTTTCTCCCTTATGTAGTAACTAACCCCCATCATCTACCTCCCAGCTCTGTACTGACAGAATGTATGGTGGCACGCAGTGCAGGTGGCAATACCACACTTGGTTTGATCCCTGGTTCATTTCTACACTTGAAATACAGTGAGTTTTAGAGACATTTGCTTATAAACCCCAGAGAATTATAAGGAATATGTTCTAGAGGCTGACTAAATACTGGAATTTACACATTTATAATTTCTGGTTATAGAGTATGAAACTAAGTTACTCCAAGAGTTCTAGAAGTTGATACCCCTGTAAGAGACAGATGTCTTATTGGCCCAAATCCCTAATGTGAATTAATCACAGCCTAATAAGTGGTGACAACATGTTTTAAAAAGAAGAGGAAAACTGGATTCATAGAAGCGAAATGCCCACTTTGAGAAGTAGGTAAATGAGATTTCAAGAAGTTAAACTGGTCAGTCTTTGCGTTCAACTAGAAAAAAAAAGAGACCTGGAGAAATCTAGAGCTATAAACCTCCTTAAGAGAGGTATCTGCCCCCATGGTTTTCCCAACATTGTAGCTTTCCCAAGGTGTAGGTGAACTATCCCACCCCAAACCATTTCATTTTCCCATTGATGCCATACCACAAAGAAAAGTCTGATTTCTAATTTCTTTTCTTCAACTTTTCTGGAGCTTGCACTCAAGCATTCCATTACCAAAAAAAACAAGCAAAACAAAAATCTCCAGGTATAAATTAATAAATTTGCGCAGCTGCACTGCATATAAATCTTCCATAACTCTGCTTTCAGATACCCTTCTTCTTAAAAGATTGATCATCTAATAATCAAGCTGTGATAATAAATCCTGTCTCTGGAATGCAAGTCTGAGGCGCTATCTTTTAACTGTACAAACAAAGCTGATGTCTCTGGAAGATAAGCCTGCATCCTTCCCCTAAATATAAATACCAAATATATCCAAAGTGGACATAATATGTTATTTTACTTTTTGCACTTCTGGGGCTGTTAACCAAATAGATAAATAATTATAATTTTATACCATGCAAAATATGTCAAATGTATGTTCATTATAAAGCTTGGAGTTTGAATTATTATTTTTTTATCTTAATCTGTTAATTTTTTTACATCTTATTTTGGAGTATAATAATAGTTAATAAATAGTTTCCATATTTTCTTTATATGCCTTTAAAAAAATCTAGATATAAAGTTTATAGAGTAGTATATTCACTAGGCTCTACGTTTCTAATGGAACAATTTAAATGGCTCACATTTAAATTAGCAAATTCTTAATTCTGAAATTAGATCATTTGCCCCATGTGCACAGGTATTATCTGAACAACTTTAAGACAAGCAACATACATTAAAGACACTGCAAAGGAGAATGTGTCTGATCTGTTCAATTAGGAAACATCTGTATGTGTACATGTTTTACCTACCTTTAGAGAGAATCAACACATGTCCTGAATATTATTCTTGCTTTCCAACACACAGGATATATGGTATTTAATTTATCCACTTTATGAGGCATTTACAACTGTTTTAGACTATTCACTTAGTCATCAAGACGAGATTTAATGGCCTATAAGATTTAATAATATGTTTCAAACATACTCTTAAAGAGAAACTTTTAACTCCATCATACAGAAAACCAAGGATGTGAAACCTGGAAAGTGCTTCCCTTTCTGATACTCAGAACTATGTTTCTTTTTAAAACTAATATGTAGGCAAGGAGTTTCCTTTTTATATCTCATAATCAACCTAAATTTTCTTTAAGAATGTCCACTGACTCGCCTTGGGACACACTAAAGTGTGTTTGCCCCTGAAAGAAATGAAGCTGTTCATAAAGGGGTGTCTTTAAAAGATTTCTGAGAATGTCTAAAGATGTGGCTTAACAACAATATCTGGATAAAAATTGTGGCTATTTTTATTTGAGGTAGAATAATTCCGTTATTATTTCTACCATGAAAAAAAAAAGTGTGCTTGATTTATTTTCAAAAGGCATGTGAGCCAGCCATCTCCGCTTTATCTGATTCATCATCTAATAGACATCAACAGCAGGAGATTGTCCGGCGGTGACACAATGCCAAAGAGTGGGGGAGGAAATTTGGAAATGAAAGTGTTTTATTACCAAACATTGTTCAGATGCTGATCATTCTAGATATCAAAATTGCCATCCACTATCATCTTATGAAGTTTCCTTTAAAATTACCTTATATTCACCCATCGAATCTAGATGATGAGTAAGGGCAGTCATGTATAACTTTTAAACATCTTGACATTTATACCTATTTTCAGAATTGGTGAGTGTTCTCCATTCTCCACGCCATGCCAATGAAATCAAGAGATACTTTGATGTTCTCATAGTCACATTACCAAGTCAAACTAAAGCGACATATTTAAGAGAATATTTCCAATTCATACTAAGCTGATAAGTTTCCTGACTTTACCAAGATGTTTCAGTCTTAGAAACTCCAACAATACCTGATATGCCTATGGCAGCGCAATTACTATGTTACAAGTATCTCTCACAGTAAATTAGAAAACACTCCTGTAGTTCTGTACAACTCTAGCCACATCAAGATCTCATTGCTCTTCAATGACATTTCAAAATCAGTTCAAACAAAGTACAAAGAGGCTATAAATGTTTTTTCTCATTTGAAGGTGTGTTTGAGGTTATTACTCTCTCCCTCTCAGGTACACTTTGTTTGACACTCTGCTCCCATCACTTTTAATGGTTGGTTTTGCTTGGTTTTATTTTTGTTTCTATGCTCCCTCTGTCCCTCGTACCTATCCTTTAGAAAAAAGATCAACATACACAACTGGACATGGGGAAAGTTTATTTTCTGCAAAGCTAGTAAGACCTGAGGACTAGATAATGGCTACATTAAGGAGACAAGAGGATTACAGTATCTGGCATTCTATCTCAAGACCCTTTTTAGGCGAACAAAACAACATTTATAATATTTTTACCAAATATCCTTGAGTCTGCCCAATCTCTTTCTTAAAACACTTTGAAGTGAGTTCCCAGCACCTGATCTTAAGCAGTTTTACTTAGAACAACAGCTGCTGAATTTCACTGCAAAATAAAACCTGAATGTAATAAGTTGAATAGTATATTTCTCTAGCCCGTGTAAGTTTCAAATAATGCTTTTCTTTTTCATGAAGGAAAAAATTACAAATGGAACAGACATCAAACAAAAGTAATATACATGCATGCACTGGGGACGTATGCGGAGAGCAGTAGATCCTAGGAGGCAGTGAAACGTCACCCTGATTCATGTTATACATTTGGTGACACAGCTGTCATAGCTCTGGCTTTGCTGTCACTTTGTTAAGAAAGTTATTTTCCAACATTCTAGCTTAATGGGGAGTGAGCAAAACTAGCAAACATCAACAGTCCCACTATCTGAAAATGGACGGCAGCGATAGCCACAGCCATCTGGGGTAGCTGGGTTATGCCCCGGGAGCCATAAAAGTCCAAAGTGACTCCATACACTGTTTAGAAAAAGAGGCAGAAGTTTTTAATCTGTCAGACAGCACGTGTCCTTAGAGCTCTGGTTCCTTTCTTCATTCAGAAAACAGAGGTTCCATGTAGTACGTTCCTGTGAGTTACAATTGGTTCTCCTCCAATCTGCTATTAGCACTGAGAGCAGGCGCCCAGCTGCTCTGAAGTCTTAGCCACATCCAGCATGGGCTACAGTTGGCCTGGCTGTCCTATTTTATCAAATCAAACCTCCTCTTACCTCGACTTCCTTGTTCTTCTCTTTGTTTCTGCCCATGGAACTTCTCCCATTGCTGGCGGTCTCCCGGGCTGGGATTACGGATATCTGGTGGAGGGGCATACTGGCAGGGCTGCAGGTTGCCCGTCCCCGGCTGGACGCCTTATCTCTTCACTCGCCCTAGAGAGCCCACTTGCACAACTGTTCATATCCTTACTTTGCCAAGCTCAGTTCTAAACGAAAAGGGGAAAAAGAGGGTTTGAGACACTGTGTAGCAGGAGCCAGGGTCTCCGGCTAAAATGTCAAACACACTGAAAGAGAGTCTCAGAGAAACACAAGAGCAAATAATCCAGGGAGTGTTGCCTCTCAAAGGGATGATTTACTGCAAGTCATAACTGTACTGCTTTGTCACGGGAGCGCCCCCTCTCCCCTAAGAGCATTGTGGGAGACAATTCAATTTCTATGGTACCTAATAACTGTCATGGAAACCAAGGAAACCTCGGTCTCACAGGCCCTTATTAGCAACTGCTTCCTTTAATGGCACAGACTCCCACATTTGCAGCGGCTGCCACTTCTGCTTTTGTTTCTCCCCTGATTCCCCAGGAGTCCACTAAGCACCCAGAGACACTGCATCCTGCTGACTAAGGAAATAAGCAGAAGGCTGAAAAGCTTAGTGTCCTAGTTGGAGCCAAATCTCTTCCTTGAAAAGCGTGGCTACCTGGCTGTGTCCTTCATGCCTCCGCAATAATCTGCTTAGGTCAAAGGATCTGCCTTGAAGTAAAGAGCATCCAATGAAGTGTTTAAAAATAAGGAGAGAGAGAGAGAGAGAGAGAGAGAGAGAGAGAGAGAGAGAGAGAGAGAGAGAATAGGAGGGACTGGGAGCAAGTGCAAATGTTTCTTTGGCTGGTTGTAGAAAAAGAGCTAACCACTCCTGCACCTTCCTTAGTAAGACATCAGCAACAGGAGTCGGAAGCCATCGTCATTCTGATACACAGAGTACCGCACTACATATTTCAGCTTTATTGCCATTCTTGTGCTCCCTGAAATATATGTGTTACTATCAGTAGTAGCCTCTCCTTGCTGTTTCAAGAGGGAAACAGAATGCTAAGGATTTTACTGTCCTTTTAATAGTTATATAATTTGGAGAAAATAAATGGTTGATCCAAATTGCTTCCCTTCAAATAAAAAAAAAAAAACAGGAAAAAAAAATCTAAGCTCTCAGTGGAGTGAATTCTCAAAAAAAAAAAAGCACATTAACTTTTAAAAATCACTTTTCCCTGTGATCATTTCTCCTTTGTTAGGGTATTTGTTATTCTATCTTTAAAAGAACAGAATTTTCTTTTCTCATTTTAGATAAATGCACTTTATTTTTTTCTGGACATTGTGAATAAATCACACTCTTTTGGGTTTCTTCACTCCAAAAGAAGGAAAATTCAGAAAATCTGTTGTTTTATGCATCCTCAGGCACTATGTGTATGTTTTAATTGCTCCCTGATCACATAGATCTTCCAAGTAATTTCTAGCTGCAATTCACCTTTGTTTTATTTCAGTTCACCTTTAACAAGCTTTGTATTCCACAACAATAATGTCATTTTCTATATGACATTCCAATTTGTTTAAATTCAGGATAGAGATAAAAAGTGAGACAGGTAGCAGCTACTCTCATTGGCAATTAAGACAAAAATAATCCATGTAAAGACTGCTTCAAAATCTTTAAATATTTGCTGAAATAAATACTTCAATGTACTTCCAAGTTTGGTCTAACCGTCTGTTCCTTTTTATCTTAAATTTGCCACCCCTCCCCCCCATGAGCTCTGGCGATGGCGCTCACCTCCACCATGCATCGATCAGGCTCACCTGGAGAGACTTTTTGACACATAGGACCCAAGACTCAAAAGATTCAGGTTCAATGGGGCTGCCGTGGGAACCTGAGGTGGACATTTCTTTAAAATATCACAGATGATTCTGATACAAAATTTTGAGAATCATTGCAGTATACCAATAAAATAACCTTAGAAAAATAAGCTAAAGTTTGACTAGTGAAAAATCTCTTGCTCTAAAATAGCAAAAATAAAAAAAGAGTTAAGCAATCCTAAATTTGGCATTTTTTCATCATCACTCTTAGTTTATAAAGCATTTGTGAAGTACAGAAGCTTTAATGAAGTAAGTAAACTCCAAAGTCTTCTAAAAAGGCCATGTTCAAAGTTAAGTTGATAATGTCTAGAAAACTATGTAGCGTAAGGATCACATCTGTGACCTGCAGTTATGAGGGGGCATGTCCTTAGTACTTTAAAAATAATCCTTAATCCCTCGATCTAGAAGAACTGTCTTAATTAAGAGGAAGTTGGAAATAGAAGTCTGTAAATTTAATAGTATGTCACAAATACTAAAATGTAAATTATGAATATGGAATATCATCAGTGTTTACACCCATGAAAAGCTAAGGCAGCTTTCCAGATAATTTAGACTTTAATGCTTTTGCTTAAAATATTCATTGAAGTTACAGGAAAGGAGATTTTTAGCTTGAATTAACTAAACGGCTGTCTTAATCCTTTGCCTCATTATGCGCGGGAGGTTTATCCTTTGTTTACTCTGAGATTTTTCAAAAATAAGATTTGAATTTCAAGTTAATTTGATTTATGTGGTTGAGTTATTTCAGTTAGCAAATTTAGTAAACAAATTGAATTCCCCTCCCCCCAAAAAAAGAAATATTTACTTCCTAGAGTAATTTTCACACTAAATAAGAGAAAGGCTTTTCAAGTAAACGGTTCAGAAATAACAGGAAGCATTAATAACCAGGATATTTAATAAAGAGTTACCTAGTATTGTATTAGGTATTGCCACAAATTTAGCATTTAAAATTTTCCAACTGTATCTGAGAGAAAAGAGAAGACACACGCTTTTAACACTTTGCATGCTATTCTCCTGCATTGGAACACTGGAACGCATATCATCAGCTAATGGGAATCACTTACATTCACCTAACATCTTTACTTAAGCAGCTCCCAGGGTGCTGGGCCAATTAGAAGTATGGTCTCTCTGGGATGACTCATTATGTAACAATCCAAAATTTAAAAAAAAACAAAAAAACTGTTGTGGAATGCATTTCTCCTATAAGAGCACTGTCCATCTTGTGCAGTAATTAAATCCTACAGAATAAACAAGAAGCAATGCATTCAGCAACTGGGTACCACCAGGCACTGACCCGCTACCAGAGAAGAGCCATGGATTCTGGATTTATTCAGCTAATCCCTATCTACCTACACAACCTCAATATATGATTATGGTCGAGATTTCCAAACTTGATTTTTGTGGAAGCTACTGAGCATGGTTGTTGTTGAAACCTTCTTGAAATATTCCCTCTCAACCTGATATTATTTCATACACATGCCTGAGTTACATTTTTTTTACTTCCACCTCCTGGCTTCCAACCCTCTGGCTCTGAGAACAGTACCTAAATTGCAGCCTCTGACTCCTAAATTTGGCATTTGTGGTTGATAATTCTAATGTGAGGATCTCAGCTTTCCCTAAGAGATTCTGACTTGGTGTGTCTCCTTGCTCTCAATGGTCTAGGTTGTCTGTGGTTTAAAAGAAAAACAAAACAAAATATACATCTGGTCTTCTACTAGAAGACCTACCTCAACTTTGCCAGCTTCAAGGGAACAAAAAGGGCCTCTAAGGGGTTTATTTAGATTGTAATTAAGCAAGAAAAGAAATACAGTATTAGGCAAACACAAGAAGCCAAGTAAACATCTGCTAATGCGTTAACTGGGCATACTGATAGTTCAATTCAACAAACATTTATTGAACATCATCTGTGTTTTCTGAACCATGCTAGGAATTAAGGAGCAGGAAGTGATGGACAAAATTATGGGGAACAATCTCAAGGAGTTTGCTGTGCTATTGGGGAGAGATGACATGCGCAGGTACATCAGTTTGAAAAACATAAAATAATAAATCAATATTTAAAACATAATATAAAATACTGAATGTAAGTGTCAAAAAAGACTTGAGCACCAAGAAATCATCATAAAGGGCCGGCTGAGTGGCGCGTTGATTAAGAGCTGGCTTGGGACACCAGACGGCCCCGGTTCGGATCCCACATATGAGGGCCAATGACACTGCCCTCCACAGCTAAGATGCTGAACAACAGCTCAACCTGGAGCTGGGCTGCCGTGAGTCGCCAGCGACAGCGTAGGCTGTAGCCCCTGCTGCAGTGGGTTGCCATGGGCTACCATGTGTAGCCAGCAGCCGCCGAAAGCGGCTGTCCAGAAGCCGGCGACTGATCTGCCTCGCCTGGGAAGAGCACAATGATGGTGATAACTTGGGCCAGTGAAGCAACATCCTCCACAGCTAGACTGAAGAACAAAAGGACAGCAACTTGTCTGTTCCCCTTCCCCCAATTCCCCAACGTTGTTCCCATCCTCCAATTCCCCAATAAAAATCTTTTAAAAAAAAATCATCATAGGTTTAAATAGTTCTCTGGGTAGGGGCTTCTTAGAGATAAGGTGATGAAATCACTTTAAGGCATAGAGATGAGTGTAAGATTGGCATGTGGGTGTTCAGGACACTATTTTAAATAACACAGAAAATTTGTTTAAGGTTATCAATTAGTGTAGGCCATGTATGCCCATTAGAATATGACATTGAAACTTGGGAGAGGAGAGGAAAGAAACAATGCAAAGGGCCTAAAGAAAGGGGAAGTCTATGCAAAGCAATATCAAGTTATAAATTCATTGATAGGGGACATAAAAATAATAAAGATAAGAACTTTAAGTGGATTCTGAAAATGGAAACAAGGCATTCTGAGTTGGGGAAAAGACATTTCATAACACATCCCTAGCAAAAAAGGAGGGAGCCCGGATTGAATGGGTTTTCCATGTTCCATCATACAAGGCCACCATCAGAGGTTACTGGAATATAGGAGCAAGATTGCACTGCACGAAGACTTTATGACATCTTGCAAAACAGAAGGAGAAAGAAACTTGGATTTAGCTATTTTTATTGGGGAAATGCTGAAGCATATACTTATATACAAGAGTTAGGAAATGGCTCAAACAAAACAAGATCAATGGGAATAATGAGAAGAGAAAAGTAATTAAAATGACTAATTCTCAGTTTATAGAAAATCTGCAATGTAATGAAGCATTTCTAAAATGGTGTGTTTTCCTGGGTCCTGATTGTTTGGATCCAATCATGATTATATTCGGTATGTGAAACCATCTTTAGTAAT